TGTCTCTACTTTACTTTCAATAATAATAGGATTATAAGAGAATTTGACGTTTGGAATCATTTGTATATGAGGGGGGTTTCACTTAATTATAAAGTTTGGTATCTTCATGGGGAAACTGGTTTTGAATATGGTAGTACTAACAAACCTCAGCAAGTTAGCGAACCTCAGCCTGATATTAGGTTAGAAGAACCTAGAACGGATATAGATTATGGTGTAAGTACTATGCATATGGTACATGATCATTATAGAGGGGAAGGAGAACCAAATCCTATATCTAGGAGATTTTTTGACATGTTGGATGCAAGAAAACAACCTTTGTATAAAGGTTGTAGAGATGGTCATTCACCCTTATCTTCTGCAACTAGATTGATGGGTATCAAGACAGACTATAACTTGGCTGAAGAATGTGTGGATGCGATTACTGATTTTGTCAAAGGTATTCTACCTGAGGATAATCTTGCACCGAGTTCATACTACGAGGTTCAAAAACTTGTTGCGGGTCTTCAGCTACCGTACGAAGTGATAAAATGTATGTATTGACAACTGCATGATCTACTGAGGAGCGGAGAATGAACGTGATAAATGCAAATTTTGTAGGAAACCTCGTTATCAGGAGACGAGGGGAAGAGTTTCGATCTCGTTCAAAAGGATGCGGTATTTGCCTTTAACGGAAAGATTGAAGAGGTTGTATCAGTGTGAGCGCACATCAAAAGCAATGAGATGGCATGCATAGCATTCCATAAATGTTGAGATTAGACATCCTCCAGATGCGAAGGCTTAGAAACATTTCCAGTCAACGTATCCAGAATTTGCGGAAGAGAGAAGAAATGTTTATCTTGGATTATGTACTGATGGTTTCAGCCCATTTGGAAAGAATAGAAGACAATATTCTCTATGGTCAGTTATTGTGACACCGTACAACTTACCTCCAAACTTGTGCATGCAACGAGAGTTTTTGTTCCTCTCAATTCTCGTCCCCGGGCCAGAGTATCCTAAGAGATCCTTAGATGTGTTTCTCTAACTACTAATACATGAGTAGCAACAACTATGGGCGCATGGTTTTGAAACATACGATGTTTCGTGCAAAGAAAACTTTTATATGCGGGGAGTACTTATGTGAATAATAAGTGACTTTCCAGCATATGGTATGTTATCCGGATGGAAAACACATGGGAGGATATCATGTCCATATTGTCAAGATGACACTGATGCTTTCCAACTAAAGCACGGAAGGAAAACGTGTTGGTTTGACTGTCACAGAAGATTTCTACCACCTTATCATCCATACCGTAGGAGTACGACTTTGTTTACGAAGAACAACCAGGTGTTTGATGGTCCACCTGAGGAAGTTAGTAGGGAAGATTTGTGGAAGCAGTTGAGGGATTTTGGTGCAGATAAGGACGCCAGACGTAGGTGGACATGAAAACATTCGAGTCGATGCGGTTGGAGAGCTACATAACTGGCATAAAAAGAGTATTTTCTGGGATCTGCCATATTGGAAGAATCATCTATTGCGTTATAATTTAGATGTCACGCATATCGAGAAGAATTTTTTCGACAATCTGATGACCAAAATCTTTAACATCCAAGGTAAAACGAAGGATAATTTGGAGTCAAGGTTGGATTTAGTCGATATCTGTGATCGTTTTGAACTTCACGTTGATGAGAACGGTACGGCCCGTTTTCCCATTTATCGGCTGGATGGTGCTGCAAAAGAAGAGTTCTTTGATTGGATTACAGATAGAATGCAATTTCCAGACGGTTATGCATCAAATTTGTGGAACTGCGTTGATAGAAGCAAAGGAAAGTTTAATGGCTTGAAGAGTCATGATTGTCATGTAATTATGCAGCGTCTCCTTCAGTTTGTTTTTTCTGCACTATTGCCACGTAATGTTCATGAAGCAATTGCAGGTATCTTATATTTTACATTTTAATTGATTTTTATATTTAACATCAATTATGCTTATATAAACCTAATACTTAAATTTTTTTTTGTCTTTTATCTATGTAGGGATAAGTGTTTTTTTCCGTGATTTATGCACCAGAGCAGTGACTGCAGAGGGTATTAGTAATTTGAAGGCAAACATACCAGTCATCATATGTAACCTCGAGAAGATATTTCCTCCAACATTCTTTGATGTAATGGAACATCTTGTTATTCATCTCACAAGAGAATTGAAACTTGGTGGTCCTGTGCAGTACTGATGGATGTATGTTTTTGAGCGTTATATGGATCATCTGAAGAAGATGGTCAAAAATAACAGCAGGGTGGAAGGATCTATAGTCGCGCAGGTGATCAATGAAGAAACTGCAATCTTTGCTGAAAAATATTTTCCATCAGAAGTGCATACAAAAAACCGAAGACCTGCTCGGCATGATGACAGAGGGGAGAGAGCAACATATCATGTTACTGTCCCAAGCATGTTCAGAGAAATAGGACGACTTAGTGGAAAACCCACGAAGCGGAGCTTACGGAGACTGAGCACGCTCATTTGCAAACATATTTGCTCGCCAACTGTGAAGATGTTCTAAAATATGAGAGGTAAAAATAGTTATTCATTTAAATTGTTAGATTAATATTCAATAATTTTATTTCATACTGATAATATCTTATTATATAGTGTTTATATGGCAGAGTTGCGTATAACTCACAGGCATGTGACAGAAGATGAGCTTCAACAACTCAGACATAGCGGATTTGCTGCATGGCTTCTTAGATATATGAGTCATATATCAAACTTCCCTATTCATATGATTAGTTTATATTAATATAAAGTAACTAACTTTTCACTCATATATGTTTTTAATTTATAGGTGAATGAGGGTTTGGCCAGAGGTTTTGTGTTCGATGATTGGATACGTGAATTTGTGCAGGGACAAAACTATGTGGTCAGACCATATTAAAAATATTGTACGCGAGGATATGCATTCACAAGGAAAGGTCATTCTAAGACAAGATATGATGCTGGTGTTTCGTCTTCTTCCGGTGATGATGTCTACTACGGCAACATAGAAGAAATATTGAAAATCCAGTTTCTTGGTATGGTTGGATTGCGGTGTGTAGTATTCTATTGTGATTGGTATGACACCACCCCATATAGAGGAGTGAAGACTGATGCGTTTGGTGTTACATCAGTTCATTCGCGGCGGAAACTTCAATATTATGATCCCTTTATTCTAGCTTCGCAAGATGATCAGGTATGTCAATTTTTTCATAATTCATGGTTTATATTTTACTAATACCTTTTATAATTGATAGGTGTGCTACATCAATTACCTCGGGTGACGTGCAGAGACGATCCATGGGTCACTGTAACGCAAATCAACCCAAGAGGACGAGTGGACAGAAATAATGAACCATTACAACCAGACTCTACCAGCAACGTGACTGCAGTTGAAGATTTGACAGATGTTAAACTTGTTGAGAATTTTAACGAGTTTGAACTTGATGCTGTCGTACATTCAAAGGGCGAAGCTGGGGTTGGGGAGTTTGATGAAGATTCTGATGATTCTGATTAGGAATTCTTATTATTTGACTTGTATTTATTAGTTATTGTACATCTTACATAAGGTAGTTTTTTTTTAGAAGAAAAAATGTTCGTCGGTATTTAGTCACTATATACTGACGATATAGTGAAAAAATGTGTTTTATTCAAAAAACACTAGTCCTCGGAAATTCGCCGGAATATACCAACGACATTCCGACGAACTAAGCAAGTTTGTCGGAATGTCGTCGGTATATTCCGACGAATATCCAAGGACTAGTGTTTTTAAAATTTTTAATATAAAAAAATATTTAAATTTGGAAACCGAAACTATGAAAATAACACATAATAAGTGTTTAGTATAGTATTAGATCGCAACGGTTCAAATATAACAACTCATTAAAATATTTATGTATATATATCATTGTTTTCATAACATCTCATCTTAACACTCATGTACTTATACAATCATATTCATATAATCTTACACTACAATTTTTTTTGGGTGTAAAATCGTATTTTGAACACATTTTTATAGTTAAATCTTTATGCAAATACTCTATTCATTTGGAAAGATTTGGATTTTGCATTTAAAAACTTATGTTAAACCCCTAAACACTATGCCGTCGGAATTCTGTCGGTATATAGTGACAAAATTCCAACGAAATCAAGTTACCCGGGAAAAGCAAACCGCGTGAAAATTTTCGCGAACCGCCATTTGGTTTAAATTTAATGATTCCGACGGAATTTCGACGGACACGGGTCCATCGGAATCATTAAAATAAAAAACCATATCTTCTTCCTTCTTCGACATTTCCGCCTCCCTCTCTTAACTCTCTCCGATTTCTCTCTCTTTGACGGCGATTTCCGAACTCCCTTCTTCGGCGACTCCTCTTCACAAGCTCACATCTCTTCCCCACACCACAAATCGTGTAAGATTCTATAAAACCTTTGTATATTTCAAAATTTTAGGGTTTAGGATGTTAGATCTTAATTAGGATTTGAGGTTGTTTGATTGAAAACTTTAGGATTGAATGGATAGTTTAGGATCTATTAGCTAGGATTGCTGTTTTAATTTTTTTTTTGAATTATATTGAGTAAATCTTAAAATATAGAATGTTTTTGTATTTTTAAATAGTTTTTTTTAAAAAAACTTTTTTTCTGTTTAAAAACGTTTTTGAGGTTTCCAGTAATATATTATATATAATAAAACGTTTTTATAATTTTTATATATATTTAAATTTTTTTTTCTATATTTAATTACAGTTTTATAAATATTTTTTAACAGAAAAAACGATTTTATATTTTTTATAGATAAAAACGTATATAATTATTTTTATATATTGAACAACCTGATCTATATTTATAAACATTTTTAAAAATATTTATAATTTTTTATACATACATACATATATTTATAAATCATTTTTAGATGTAAAAATCATTTTTAATAATTTCTTTGAAAAGTTTTGAAAATAATTCAGATGTATTATAATTTTTTTCTTAGGTCCTAGGATGCACCCACCCGTTCCGCATTCCCCCGTCGCCCCGCATACCGTGGTGGCCGAGGTAGTTCGGTGAGCAGTTCCCGTGCATCGGTATCGTCTTACGAGCAAAACTCGGTTCCCGGATATGTTCCCGCTCCCCCTCCATATGTTCCCCCTCCAGCTGCTGAGCAGGATCCGGGGGTCATGTCAGTTGAACAATTGGTTCAACAACCAGGTCGAGAGCATCTCCCGGTTCTCCATCCCAACCCACGGCCGGGACATACGACTTAGTTAGTATTTTTTATTTTATTTGTAGAATTATGTTTTTTTCCATTAATTAACTTTCTAACATGCATTTTTTTAAAGGCTCACCAAGTCGAGCAATGGCATTAGCAGGAGCATCAACAATATGATGTATTCCATGCTTCGTACCGGATATCCGAACTGGAGTGTGATCACTCAAGAGGACCGGGAGTTGTGGTTTCGTCAGTTTGCGGTAACTCTTCAGTTTTTTAAAAGCCTTTTTCAATTTTTTTTACCTATTAAATTATGTGTGTTTTGTAGCAAGAATTCACTTGGGAGTTCGGTCTCACGGAAACAGTCCGTCAGAGATTCAACGAAAGGCCATGGACTCTTATACAAAGCTGATCAACGCGTGGAAGACAATATGGCAGAAGAACAAGAGGCAACGGTTCATTAACGGGACGGTGTGGGAGCAGTTGATAGTCCATTGGGGGAAGGACGACACTGCAATGACGTCTCGTAAGAACTCCAAGAAGCGGAAGAGCAATCGTGGCGGGCAAGGTATGTATGTGCACAACCTCGGCGCTTACTCTGTGTCTTCTAAAGAAGATTAACTTGTAAGTTCTATTTTTTTATTTATATTTTTTTAATTTAAATAAATATTTTTATATATTCCTTGGCTAATGGTTGTTTTTTAGATTGAAGCAAATGACAGTAATCCCGTTGATCGTCTCACTCTCATTAAGGAGGCTCACACTAATTACAAGAAGACGGGTCAAGTTCAGGACCCCGTGATCAGATTTGTTGTTGAGTTGGTGGAAACTCAAAAAGAAGCTCTTTTAGCTTTTTAGCCTCTCTCTGATGACGGCAATTCTACGGGAGCTTCAACCAACATGTTCCGGTTGCAAATAAACGATATGGTCGAAAAGGTAATTTTTAATTAATTAATTAATTTTATTTTTATAATGTAGTTTACTAACTTTAAATATTTTTGTAGGTGGTTCCTAAAAGGAAAGGAGGTCGTTTAGTTGGGTTGGCTCGCCGTTCTTCTTCGTGTCTGAAGTCTTTTTCGGAAGCTTCGTATACCGATCCCATAATTTTGGAGCAGCTACAGAACAAAGATGAACGGATTATGGCATTGGAGGAGCAGAACACCACTATCCTTACTGAGCTGGAATCATAAAAGAAGACCAACGCCCAGATAATGAAAAAGCTAGATCGTTTGTTTCCTTCTGAATTTTAAAAATTTGTGAATGTTTTCTTTTTCTATTTAAGTTTGTATGAATTTAAATTCTATAATATTATTAGTTTTAAATTTCAGATTTTGTTTATTTATATTAATTTTTAATATAAAAAATATTTAAAAATTTAAAATTTTAAAATTTATTTTACAATAAAAATGGTATATTTCGACGACATAGGTTCGTCAGAATATACCGAAGAACGATTTGGTCGGAATATACTGACGACTCTATGTCGTCACAATATACTGACAAAACAAGTTTGTCAGTATATACTGACGAACCTATGTCGTTGGAATATACCGACGAACCGTTTTCTCAGAATATACCGACGACCTTGTTTTGTCAGTATATTCTGACGACTTCTCTTCGTCAGAATGTAGTGATTCCGATGAATTATATTTTTGAAAGGTGTTATCGGAGTTTCGTCGGAAGTTTGTCAGAATAGTGTTTTTTGGTATTTGTCAGAAAGTCGTCGGAAATTCTGACGAAATTCAAACGAATTATTTTTTTTCAACAAAATGATACCGATGACCACTTTCGTCAAAAGTTCGTTAAAGTATGTCTATTCCGACGAATTTTTGATGATTTTGTCCGTCAGTATCCACATGTTTTCTTGTAGTGTGAGCTGAGTCATGAATCTCATTACTTCCATTGGTTTATCTCTTATTATGTAGATTAATCTCTACAACTGTCTTGAAGATGGTCAAATATCTTTATTGCAATCCTACGCTGATGAAGATGTAAGGAAGTAGTATACATAATATATAGTTTACTAGCTTTTCCAACAAATAAAGTTTCATTGAGGCTATACATTATGGGTATATTTGTCTGATGTATTTTGGTGATCAGAAAAAGGAGTCATTTTACACGGTAAGCTGGGCGTGTGGCGTTAAAGAGAACCCATTTGTTGTTGCTGGAGGAGTTAAAGGCATAATCCGAGTCATTAACGTCAAGGATGAAACGGTTCACGTCAATGATGAAACGGTTCATAAGGTATTAATTATTGCATTTTTTTTATCAGCTTTAGACTGACTTGAAGAATTTATGGAGGTTCTGTGTATGCTACTAGCAAGTGATTCGATTTATTTCTTGTGTATAATCCGTGCTCGCACGTACGCAGAGCCTTGTGGGCCACGAGGGTTCAGTGAATGAAATTAAGACACATCCTATGAAACCTCAACTTGTGCTTTCTGCTAGCAAGGTATATCTCTTCTCTTTATAATGTCCTGATGTTCATTTATTTGCTTTGAGGCTTAAGACCTTAAAACAACGTTTTGATTGGACAAGGATGAATCTGTTCGATTGTGGAATGTTGAAACTGGGATATGTATTCTGATATTTGCTGGAACTGGAGGTCATCGAAACGAAGTTATAAGTGTGGTAACTCAATGTGGCTCTTTCACTTTTATAAAATACATTTTAAAATACACTTATCTTGTAAACCTGTAGGACTTTCAACCCCACGATGAGCACCGTTTTATTAATGAAAGGTATTAGTTAAAACCGACCACACTTGAAAGGAACTTCCTTTCTCTGTCAGTTTGTATGATTTCTCTATTACTCTTTGGCTGCCTTCAGAGTTTTGGACATATGTCGAGGACTCATTCACAAGTTGTACAATTCCCTGTAAGTATTTTTCTGTTTCTTCCTTCCTGTAACAACGAGTGTGACATACATGTCTTGATGTAACATTACCTCTATGTGTAGGTATTTACAGCTTCTTCGGTTCATACAAATTATGTTGATTGTAACCGTTGGTTTGGTGATTTTATTCTTTCAAAGGTTAGTCCAGGAGTCAATAATGTATTAATTAAGATCATATTTCATTTGGTGGAATAAGCTAAAACCAAAAGGTTAGTCTTTTGTTTCTTCTCTATATATATGATTTCAGAGTGTGGAGAATGAGATACTATTGTGGGAACCAATACTGAAAGATAATCCTGGAGAGGTTAGGAACTCATTTTACCCTATACACAACAGACATATTAAAGTTATTTGTGCTGTTGTTTTTGCAGGGTACTTCAGTTGTTCTAGTTAGATACCCTATTCCAAATTGTAATCTTTGGTTTATCAAGTTTTCTTGCGACCTCTTTCTCAATTATCTTACAATAGGTAATGATCAGAAAGCTATAGTATATACAATCTTACTTGAATTTTGTGAAAAATTTGTGAAACAATCTTGGTTGGTTGGTTGGTTGGACATCAGGGAATCAGGAAGGCAATGTCTGGGACTTAAAGAGTTTCCCTCCTTTATTCAGTACAGTGTAAGTTACTTTCGGATCCAGAAACAATCTTTGGTGTCTTTGTTGTATTCGTGACATGACTCTGTTGCTATATAGGTTATCACACGATCAGTCAAAGTCTGTGATCAGGCAAACCGCTATGTCCACTGATGGAAAGTATATTCATCATCTCTCTCTCCAATGCATTAAAAAACTTCATTATTATATGACTCAGTAATTACTCCAAACATAAATGCAAAGCATTTGATTACTGACACACTCTGTTTTTTTTCCATGGCATTGTAGCACAATTCTTGCTGCCTCCGAGGACGGGACTATATGGCGCTGGGACGCGATTAACAAGGAGAAACCTGATACGGTAGGAGAAAGGGAAAGGGCCAACTAAAGTAACATAGTGAAGAGGTTCTAGAAGAAGATGTGCTGGCTACCTTCTAGAAGTACATAAAGGAATAAGATAAGGGGCATGTCAGAGTACTGTGAGTATTTAGTATTTAAGGAAGAATTTAGGAGGGGGGTGGGGAGATATCAATGATTTGATCAAGTGGTTGTAAAGAGAGAAGAGTCTCTCGTGTGGAAGGCTCTCTTTTGTAATCCTTGTTTTGAATCAATAGAAACATTATCTTAAGATACGCATTGTTACAAAAGCGGACTATCTATCTACTAGTATGAATTTTATTAATTATTATCACAACCATACAAAACTTTTTTTTATTACTACCTATTTTTTAATACCCAGCGTGCCCTTTTTTCACGTTGTGAGAAAAAACATATTTACAAGAATGCCATTACTTTTTTATGCCACGTAAGCAAAAAGTTCGGGTCCACTGCGGCATAAAACTCAGCCGCAATAGGATACGAACTACGTTACGGCCGAGATATAGGTGCGTAGCGGCTGACTTAACTAACCTAGCTGACTTATGAGAAATAAGCTGAGTTATGAACATAACTCAGTCGATCGTTACGGCTGACTTAAAAAAATCTGGCTGGTTTATGTGATAACGGCTGAGTTACGGTCAGATATTAC